CTGGCCGTCTGAGAAGGGAACAGTGCGTGAACCGGCGTCGTCCCCGAGCGCTCGTTTCTGGTCAGATGTTCTTTTGTTCTAGGCAATTAAAAAAAAAAATGAAATAACCTGAAACTGAAAATGTTCATGTCAGCGGTATACAATACTTAATTCTGGATGTTAACAGCTTACAATTTCACAAGAGCCTGTTGTTCGATTCGGTGCTCTTTTGTTCAGCTTGATGTCTGAGTTTCTGTGGGAAGTTCTCCGGTCCAGTTGCATCAGTCCGCCGGGTCCACAGAGACTCGACCGAGAACGAAATAAGCTTCTGGCTTTTGCTGCGTCACATTCCTGCACGTCTGTCTGTTGGTAATAAATTGCTGTTTTCCTGACATTTTGCTCTTCTGCTGTTTTGATATAACTTGTTGATAACTGAGCCGTTAACATATTTCAGTGAAGTTTTAGTTGATGATAAATCCTCAGGTACCTTTGCGGCTCATGTATGCGACCAGTAGCTGTGTTATTGTCCATTACCTGTAAATTTGCACAAATTGAAATTACAAAACTCAACTTGCCCAATTGAAAACTCCAATTTCAAAGTAAGATTGTTGCCACAAAACAATGTGAGCTCCTTTGAAAAGTGAGTGCTAAGCAGAGTTTATTAGGACATATTTATTGAGGTAAAACTAAAATGTACTTGGTCATAAAGTTTGAATATTTATTCATTCACATAAAACCTTGATTTTATTCACATATTCGGTGCTTTGAGGTTTAGTGTCTGCCACAATTTTCATATAAAGTTAAAATGAGTTGTTTTTTTGTTTTTTTTTTCGGTTATTCTCTTTAGTTATTGGTGTTGGAAAATAACCAACACCAATACAGTGTTTTAGTTCCTCCAAAACCCGTGGAAACCATAAAAGAAGACTCACCTGTGTGGCCGGCGAGGCGTAATAAACTTCCATCATTCTCTGTTTTCCGTAAATTGGGGGTTTTACCGAGTGTGTAATGCCAACTTAATTGACCAAATCAGACAGAAAACATCGCCTGACAGAGTCTAATGAGGAGGTTCTGGGACTGCGACCAGCTGAAAATGTTTACTGGCAGGAAAAAAAAAAAGAAGAAAACCCAGCTAAACCGGCACCGAATGTTCCGATCGCAGGATAAAGGAATTTATTAGGTCAAATTGGAAAATCGTGTTGGAGGCCGACGCGCAGTCATGTACAATAATTTAGAAAATGGATTCCAATGGGATTCATTCGCCAGGTTGACAAGAACCTTTTTGAAAGCGATCTTTAAGCAAGCGCTCAATCGATTTTCTGTGTTTCTTTCCCTAAAATGCTTTTTATTGTTCTGTTGCAAATAAACAGTGAAGAGAGAAAGAATTTTACAAGTATGAACAAATACCGAAGCCTGACGTTTATAGCCTCAGCTAATTTGCAGCGTGCGTCACCAGAAAGGCCTTGAACAACATAAAACCGTTTAAAAGACAATGAGACAACATAGCAAGACAAACGACCTTCAGATATCGGGTTCTCATCAACTGTATGCAAACAATCATCATAATTAGCAGAAATGAAGGCTTTGAAGCATCAGTGAGTTTGTAAGTAATCTATAAAATAATGGACCTTTTCAGTATTCTGACTTATGAAAGGTGACTGGATGGCGATGTGGAAAGGAAGCAGTCTTGATTTTACATAAAGCATGTTAGACCTGCTTGGGCAACTCACACTTTTTTCTTCTTCTTTTTTTGCCCGAGATTCAAGGCGGACGAACAGTTTCCAAAGACGACAGGCCACTGCTGCTCTCTGCTGGCAAGGCCCAGGACTCACATTGTGTCCACTCTGGCCTACGTGACTGTAAACATGTTCTGATTAGTATTCACACAACACAGAGAGTTAAAATGAGGGTAAATAATAGTAATAAGTAGGAGGAGGTGTTGGATGAGTGAGTTTTATATGTTGGATCTCCAGAGCAGAACAACGTGCAGACATGTTACTGTAACCATACATCAGAGTATGTTTCATCACATTAAGAGAAATTGCTTTAATAAACTAAAAACTTGTGTTTTACAATTAAAAAACAAAAAACACAACAAGTTGTGACAGTATGTCACAAGACAGAAAATCTGCGAAAAGATCTATCAATATAGTTGCTATCAACTCTGCTAACAAAATCAACCAATCAGAGCCAGGAGGACGGTCTTGGTGCTATCAATCATCCTCTTGTCTGTGCTGCTAAATGTGTTGGTGGCAGAGAAACAACTTACGGTTACAGGACAACCGTTTACCCACTGCCATCGTTGACCATGCGAGTCACAGCATTCATGACTCGCTGTGCTAACTGCAGCGTAGCAGAGAGAGGGGATGAGCTGCGCCACATGGAGGGTGATGGACAGCGCCATGACCCACCCCCTCGCCCTGATTGGTTGTCTCTAGGTTAGCACTGGGAGAAGACAGAGTTCAATATTTTATTTGCTTCACTGATTATCTGTCTCATACCATATTGTCACAACATGGACAGAGTTTCAGCAAATATGTAAAAAATATATTTTTTGTTTTCTAAAAGTTACGCAACACAACTTTGTGTGTTGAAGAAAAACTTAAGATAATTTTTGTAACCAAGGCAAACTAAAAATATTGCATACTGATAAAAGACTTGATTATTTGTGCAAATAATATTATTACATGAAAATATGTTTAAAAGGAAAACGGTGAAGGATTAAGAAACCATTTATATAATATGCACGAGAGATATGAAATCCATGAATTTAAAGGGAGAATATTTTCATTTAACCATAACTGTGTCTTCCAGTGCAGAGCTCTGTGAAATGAAATAAAAGGAGGTTCTGATTCATCGTCTGTCACTCAGAGGAACATTTCTGCATCGACACGCTCACCTTCTCCTTTCCTGCTCAGTCTCACTGCCCTACACCCTGAAAGGACAGCGATGTGCTAGCGTCGGACTTTAGTAGCTTATTCCATAGATGAGGATTAGGATTACCGACAATCATGCTCAGATTACGCCAACAGGGGAACCTTAATGTATACTCAGCCCAGCTGAGATGCGAATTAAAAGAATGTCCATGCATTGCATCATATCTAAGCAGGTAAAGCAGAGAGTTTCACTTCATCTGCATTCAATTTGCCAAAAGAGATTTTTTTTTTTTTTTTTTTGGCAATCTGTCAGACATGCCAACCTAAGTCAGGGGGTTGTGTTCCACCAGATATGACTGAAATATGTTCAATAACAGCTGGATGTCTATAACTGCAGTGAACATCTCAGCACTTGCAAGTGGCCACAAGAGGGAAACAAAAGCTAAAGAACGCAAAGCGTTGTTTTAGTCTCTAACCACATGCATGTGCAAAGCCAGACGGAGAGGCCTGGATGTAGGCCACTGTGCCACAGCATGTCAGGACACACAGGGTCACAACTGCAGAGTTAAAGGGGCAGTGTTATGTGGTTTCCAGGCACATAGAGGCATTTTATAGCAAAATTAAGTTACTATGTTGCCTTCAGTTGCAAAAATGCTGCATAAATCACAAATGAGTTGAAAGAACTTTTACTTGGTAAATGAACACCTTGAAATTGGACCTCCGTCTCTTTAAGAAACTCCTGCTCTTTCTGAAACTCCGCCTTCAGGAAGTCGTCACAAGAATGCCCGTCTTTGCCAGCATCACTCTGAGAAGAATCCGATGTTCATATCTGTATCGGTATTGAACAAAAAAAAATAAAAATCTATGTCATATTGGTGACAATGTTTCCTATCCGTGAGAGCAGATCTATTTGGTCTAACTCTATTCTTCATGCTCTGAGCTACATCAGAAATTACTATTTATTTTACATTATAATCAGAATTTCTAATTGCTCTTTCTGAACTATTTGAAAATAGATTTGCTATAGTTGTTTTTTTACATCTTTGACCAAGGTTTCCAATCTGTTCTACTCCTGTCTGTCCTGACTGAACAATTTAAAGTTGTGTTATTTTTCCATGTTGAAGCAAAACGACCACACACCATGACACTGCCACCGCCATGCTTGATGGCTAGGAGGGTACAAGCATCCCTGTTCTTCCTCCGAATGTAACAATGGTCATTATGGCCAAACAGTTCCACTGTAGTTTCATCAGACCACAGGTCATCTCTTCAGAAACGAAGATCTTTGTCACCCCAGTGTTCACCTGCAAACTGAAATCTGGCTTTTAACGATTCGGGATGTGTTATAGTTTGTGGCTTAAGATCCAGGATTATGAAGACTTTAACAAAACACTGAAATGCAACGACACAGAGAAATGAAAACAGGAAATCAATCTTAACAAAAACTGGAGTCAATTTGTTAAAACTATAATCATATTTATCCAAGAAAAAATAAGTTGACTGAAAAAAATACAACCATCTCCGTTTTCCATGTTTTCTGTCAGTTTGAGCAAAGAAACAAAAGGAAAGCAGAAGCCAGGATCTCTTTTTATCCAACAGTTTTATTTTTATGTATGTAGTTTCAAGTAAAAAAACAACAAAAAGACAACCTTTGAGTGTCACTAAAGTAATTACAACATACTCTGATTTATTAGGTTAAGTTACACTCACTAAAGTTAATGCTACTTAATCAGCTAATTTAATGAAAACTAAAAAACAAACTTGAGGCCTGTTTGCGTAGTTTATAAGAAACGAAAACTAATTAGGTTTTACAGTATTTAAGATTTTGTCATTAAAACTTATTCAAAACGATCAAGTTAGTTAAATTGTGTCCACTTCAGATGATCAGATTAAACAAAACAATTTTTTTGGAATCAACTTTGGATAATCAATCTTTGACTGGAAAAAAAAAAGTCAGAAAAACAACTGATAAGAGAAAAGTTTGGACCTGGCGAATCTTATCTGATCGTGTTGAAGTTCGGGTCCAGTTCATCCCGCAGACCCACGGGCCCCTCCCTTCATCAGCCCTTTACTATGTGTGGGCGGAGCCCGGTGGGCGTGGGCCTGTTTAATACAGATGCGCTCCTGGGTGTGCAGCCCTGCGTTCAGCGGCGATCGGACGGTTCGGTTCGGAGCAGAGCGGCGGACGGGAACCATGACTGCACCCGGCAACAGCTACGACGTGGTGGTGATCGGAGCGGGGATTTCAGGTAGGAGGGATGATGGCTGGAGTCCCCGGCGCTGTGGGCGGGGTGGCGGCGCAACTGTTGCACAAGAGCCGCTGGATCACCGCTGGGGAGGAAACGGACACAGAGCGATCCGAGCCGCTTCCCCTGGTTCCGGTTTCCTCCCTCCGCTGCTTCACTGCGGGTTAAGTAAGGGCTAATCAGCCGCTGCGGACTTTGTGTTACATAAGAGGAAGAGGAGGGAAGGGAGGCGTAATCATTGCTGGTGGTGGTGGTGGTCACCTCCTGTCAGAGGAAGCATGGAGAATCTCGGTCTGTTAGAGAGAGAGGCCGAACAGATGTTGTTTAATGTGGGCAGGCTGCTGTGGCTCCACGGCGGACACGAACTCAACAAATCACGGAGATGTGATTAGCCTGCAGGCTGCAAGCTGCAAACTGGCTGCAGCCTGCAGCCTGGAGCTTGGAGCCTGCAGCCTGGAGCCTGGAGCCTGGAGCCTGCAGCCGGGAGCTTGGAGCCTGCAGCCTGCAGCCTGCAGCCTGGAGCCTGCAGCCTGGAGCTTGGAGCCTGCAGCCTGGAGCTGGAGCCTGGCTTGGAGCCTGGAGCATGCAGGCTGGAGCTTGGAGCTTGGAGCCTGCAGGCCGCAAGCTGCCTGGAGCCTGCAGTCTGGAGCCTGGAGCCTGGAGCCTGCAGCATGGAGCCTGGAGCCTGGAGCCTGGAGCCTGGAGCCTGCAGCCTGCAGCCTGGAGCCTGCAAAGTTGTAGGGTTAGGGTTAGGATTAGGGTGCATCCTGCAGCCTGGAGCCAGAGTCTGCTGCTGTTACTATAGCTATTACAACTTTCTGAGGTGTATATGACACTTTCAAACCCAGAATTAGTTTTTTTGAAAAATTTAATTGAATACTCTTGTTTTCTTCTTTTTCTGCTATTTGCAACATTTTGGGGGTCACAAACTATTGTGAGAAAAATGATTTCCCGCCATAAGAACCACCTTCCAGCTGAACTTTGTGTTAATCAGATTGATCAGATAACAGGGCTGAGGTGTTGTATTGAGTGAAGACATAGAGCCCACATATCACATGTTTAAAAATTAATGTTTTGTTTTTTTTTCCCAAAATTGGTGTTTCCATGGAGCAAACTTACTTGCAAATATGAAATTACACAATGATGGAAATTCAACTATTACTGAGTTACCATTTCTTCCTAATTGTAAATGTTAATGTTCTTATATATGTTTATGTAGTACATTTCTGTCATAGTATACATCTTAAACTTCATTCATAATGGTCTTAAAAGTCTTAAATCTGAGTTGGTTAAACTTGCAGAGACCCTGGTTTCGTTCCCAACAGCAGAGCAGGGAGGAATGTGGGTCACTGTCGGGTCAAATACCAGTCAAACGGTGAAAACGGCTCCTGCAGAGGAAACGTTCATTCACCAACAAAACAAGGTGCTGATGTTCCCCATTAGGTCGCCTTAATCACACCGTTTGTTTCACTGAGACCTTCTAACGTCTTCCGATGAGGACTGCAAGTAACAATCAGTGTCCAATCAGAGGACGCGTCCCTGTCCTCCCCTCGCCGTCCCTGTGTTCCTGCCTGTGAGACGGTGGGCCGCCGCTTTCGGAGGAAACGCTCAAAGTGTGTGGCAGCCGAGGAAGAAGAGATGCAGAAACGATGAGGGAGGGGAGAGAAACTCTGCCCCTCGTTTTTATTGCCCCTCAGCAGCTGCTGGCGTGGGCAACTTAATGAGGTAAACACAGGAAGGGACAGGAGGAGCCAAGAGTTTAGCAGGAAACGAAGAACGGGAAATGAGTTTGAAAACAGGGAAGAAAACGGATGTGAAAACGGAAACATGAAGGGAAGTGGTTCGAAAGCAAACCACCGATGAGGCGATTCTCACAAAGTGACTCCTAATAATCCACCAGGGGGAGGATGTGTGGAATGTGTCGACTGATGAACTGGACCAGAATTGGACGTGCCAAGCCAGGAGCAGAGCATTGTTCTGAGCACAGAGAACAGGAAGTGCTTGTGTTTACACATTCAGAAGGACACACTGTATGGTTTATTAGCCTAAACTGAACGTGATTCTGATTAAAGAAAATTCCTCCATCTAAGGCTCAGAGATCAAAAGCACCAACATGTAACCTTGTTGCTGAGCGCAAACATGTGGACTCAAATTCAACCCTTGTTCTAATACATCGGTTGACTCAGTCATATTGACATGAGTGATCCCTGCAAGAAATAAAATCATATGTCGTCTTTTCTTGCTGGTGAATATGTGACAAAAGTGTTTCTGTTGCAGAACACACAGACAGACCACCACAAGCTTTTTTTGCTGTGTTTCTTTAAGCAAGTATTTTTGTAAATCCAACTTGCACCATTTCGCGGTCAAAGGAAACGTAGCTATTGACGCGTAACCAAACGAATCCCCCAGTTTTACAGAGCCGCTTGCAGGACCTGGGGGATTTTTGTTCTTTCTTTAAGAACCTTATAATGACCCTATATTGTAGCAGAAACGTATGGTGGCCACCAGGAAAGACTTTTGGTATTCAAATATGCCGCATTAACTGATCAGTACATTATTGAGAGGTAACGACGCAAAAGAAACATTTTACCCCATACGGGTAAAATATGGGGGCTTCATACAGTTTTAAGAAATGTCTATCATCATTAGATGTACATATCAATCAATAGTTGAAACTTATAAAAAAAACCAACTGCATTCTTTTCCTTTCAATAAAACAAAGCGTCTCTGTGTTTGATCCCTGGAGAAGTCGGGCCTCAACAGAACCGCATTTCAGCCTGAGAGCGGCTCAGCTTGTGGGTCTGCTTTTCTCTTGAATGCTGTTGAATAATCCAGAACCTGGCTCTGATGAGTCACTGCTTGTCAAGGAGGCGCCAGCGTGAAGGCTTCTGAAAAAACACAGGATCAGTCCATCAGTTTACCTACCAGCCTGAGTAAAGAGACCCTCTTGCGTAACGTGTCTGAATCTGAAAACACCATAAATCCAACGCAGTTTACTTTACAGAAAGCTTTTCGCCTCATTGATTATAGTGATAAGTGAGGCAATCAGTTCTGATCCTAACTAGAATACAGCAGGTTAGTTATGGATGGTGCCATAAATTATATTGTTTGCAGGCCGTAAGTAACAGCGGTGATAGGAAATGATTGAACTCTGGATAGTTCACACTGATCACCTCAGTATTGCAGCGTGCCCTTCTCTGTTTTAGTGCGACTGATGAATTTGGGTCCCGAGGACAAAAACACTCAGACAAACAGGGATTTTCCTCCTCAACCTTTTCAGTGTACCTCCCAAAAGTTTGCACTTGCCTGGTCAGGCGACTCCTATGAACATTTTCCTGGAGCACCGTTTGCCTCAGAGCATCTACTGTAATATATTTCATGTGGTTTTTACACTCCAACAACAGGTCAGACCGCCGCCTCACTGCAGCTTTCAAGGAGGCTTTATATCACTCTCCAAAGCCGTCTGCTCTGAAGGTTTTAGTGTTTTCGGGGGTTTTTTATGCAGTTCACATTTGTCAGGCTAAGGTGTCATAATACCTTATTGCTCATTCAGCAAAGCAAACTTACATTTTTCTGACTATCTGTCTAAATACCATCAACGTGGCTCCAGAACCACATCACTGCTTTCTGCTTCCAGCTGTGCAAACATTTTATTAGAGTTGCCAGTTACAGTGTGTGTGTGTGTGTGTGTGTGTGTGTGTGTGTGTGTGTGTGTGTGTGTGTGTGTGTGTGTGTGTGTGTGTGTGTGGGGGGGGGGGTGTGTGTGTGTGTGTGTGTGTGTGTGTGTGTGTGTGTTTCCGTTATTAATTATGTGCATTTGCGTTCCCCCGTGTTTGTCTTGGGTGTGTGTGGCCAGTAAAGTCATGAAGTGTGTGTGGTCATAACCTCAGCCCTGTTAATCTTCTGAATCAAAACACTGATTACATGAAGACATGGAGCTGATGGATGTTTGTACAACTGGAAGTTTCTCATCTCTGTGTGTGTTTCCAGCAGCATGTATGTGGGAGGTGCTCTAGGCTGGAACTGTCAAACTCTTTGAAGAACCATCAAGCTGAATTCATAATCGTTCTACAAAATGTCTGCGTTTTACAGTTGTTCTGTTTTAAACAAAGATGAAAATTCAACAACAACCAGATCCATCTGACTTCTTAAGCTATTGCTCAAATTCAAAAGTACTTTATTAATCCCAAAGGGAAATGAAATGTTGTGACTCATTGATTTAGATTCTTCAAAGAGGTATTGAAGATGGTGATGGCTGTTGGCAGGAAAGGTTTTCTGCAGCAGTCTGTGCTGCACTAAATCTGCAGAAGCCTCTGACTGAAGATGCAGTGTTTTTGTAAGACGGTATCATAAAGAGGATGGTCAGGGATGTCCGTGATTCTCTTGATCTCATGAAGAATCCCTCTGTGCATAATCATCTCCAGAGGTTTCACACTCGACCCCTACATGAACTTTACATGTAACACGACACGCTCAATTACATTTTTATTTTGGAAAAGTCGGCTGTGTTGAACTTTGTGTATTTAGCAAAACTGCGATGGAAACATTTTTTTTTTTTTTTTTTGCTTTACACCAGTCATGTGATCACCAAATGGATGTTGCTACTGGCAGAAATGATGAAGAAGATGACAGGAAGTGTTCGCAGGATGATGGTGCAGCATGTTTTTCATTTTACGATTTATCGCATGAACAAACTAATCTACATGTTTCTTTATTTGTATCAGTGAAAATAGGAATCGGCAGATCAGGTTTTAAAGATCGGTGATTGGCCAGAAAACTGCTAGCAGTTTGTGTTTAGCATGAAAATCAAAATCAGTTGAATCAAATTACAGCAAGCACCTCAACGTTTGGTGCTGTAAGTCTAATTTTATTTAAATTTATGAAAATAACTCACCTATATAATGTTTGACCGAAACTGTAAAGATCCACTGTTTAGGGCCTGAAGAGCCACAAGGGGCCGCAGGTCGCAGACTCCCTGGTCTGGGTCTCTAAATGTTCTGGTTACCACAATGAAAAGGTCAAGTCGTATGCTTGCTTTCTCTGTGATTGACGGCGTTTCGCCTCATTTCGCTGCCGTTAGAAGGCTGCGGTAAACATCTGCTGCCAAGGAACACGAGATGGACCTAATGTGATTGCTCTGCGCTTTGTAAATGCCTCCCCCAGCGTAGATCGATACGAAGCCTGTCGAGTGGCAGGCTCGTCAGTCGGCTCCGGTCGGATCTCTGTTGTTTGTGCCTGCATGTAAATAACACCCTGATCCAGAGGAGACAGGCTCACATTAAGGAGGGAACATGCAGGCGTCTTTAACCAGAGAGACACTAGAGTGACTTTTAGCTCCACAGAGCTGGAAGACAAGATGCTGACGGCGACATGAAACACTGCGGCATGTTTTAGAAGCCACTTTACAGATTTTTGCTCTTTACATTTTTTTTTTAAATCTCCCTTCAACGTTTTATATTATCAACCTAACTGTTAGATATAGATTACCCATGTAAATCTGTGTCCCAGTTCACAAATGATGATTTCAATTATTAAGGGAAAGAGTGATCCAAACCAAGCTGGCTGCTATATAATTGTGGTGTGACACACGTCATAATTCTGCATTGGAAGAATTCAGACGCGTAAACAATGTCTGAAGATTCTGGTTATGAACTTCTAAAAACCTGCCTTCACTTTGGATTTGAAGCTTTGGCATTGAGACGTATTGTGACGACCCCAATGCTGCTTTTAATGCACAAGTTTTAAACTCCTGAGCCAGTCTGCAGCTGTGTGACTGCGTACAGTTTGCAGACTGGTGATGAAAGCCGGACCCGAAGGTTCCGGGTCGGCTCACGTTTTCTCTCCCTGAAAAAAGGCTGATGTGGTTTGGACGCCCTGGGGGGACAGAAGCTGTGAGAGCGAAGAGACGAGTGAGTGAGCAGCAGCAGGGAGATAACGCCACGCGCAGGAAACGGCCCTTCAAGGACAGCAGGGCTGGAACAGTCACATGACCGCGGACCGAGCCGGGAGAAGATCCAACAGGCTCAGATAAACAAGTCCTGCAGGAATGGTTGTATTTACACAAGCTCTCACAGAAACATCTTTGGCAGGGAGAGTCTTTGTGTAAATAACTGTTAAACTGAACTAAATGACTTCTGACTGTAAGAACTGAACGTCACTCATGAGGTCATTGTTCTACATTGTTTGACCCGTCATAGTCACACTCGTCTGTGTGAGCGTGACGAGTCTGAAGAATGTGGACACAAACCGGGCGTCAGATCTCAGTGGTAGGATTTTGTATTTGGTAAAAAAAAACAACAACAAGCCGTTTCATCTGCTAGTGTTAGACTCTCGCGTTTACTTTGGTTGTGTTTACCCAGAATGCTCTGCTTTTGGAACAGTACCTGACGCTCTTGAACCGTGCCAGAGTTCACTTCATCTGGACAGAGACCTGGGTTTTCAGATGGACCAGAGTTCGCTTCGTTTGGTCAGAGTTCACTCGCTCCTCCTGAGTGAACTTTCGACGGCAAACGAGTTGAGATTAAATCCGTGTCGCAACTTAATCTCAGTTCCAAGTTGTTCTTCCAAAGCGGGAATGTGGTTCAGACACACCACTTATCCCGCTTCAGTATTCAGCCTCGGCTCTGCGTTTCAAGGAACCTGCATCTGTTTGATGAATGTCAGCGTCTACGTCTCCATATCGTCTGTGTTATCCCGAGGTGCAGAGAGCCTGGAGCAGCAGGGCTCAGAGGGAGGACTGCTTCCTCACTCCTCACTGTCTCCACCAGCGACCGGCTGACCTTTTCTGTCCGTTTAGGAATTCGCTGGAAACAAACGACAGATCCTACGCAGACGTGAAAACAGACGCGCACCAGCTGCCTTTTTGGTCCAAAAATAAATCAATAAAAAACCCATAAAGTATGACGGACTAGTGTAGCCAGTGAGTAACAGAAAGTGATGCAACGTTATGTAGCGGCCATCAGGCTCTTGTTTCTCATTTCATGTTTATGACGGGTCGCTGCAGACCCTTGGGAGTTCAAAACATGGACACTTCCGGTTTTAACTCGGATATTCATCACAGGAGCAGAGTACAGGCGGTTTGTACAACCAGGTAGATTTTGAGAGGTTGCTAAGGAAACGGTCAAAAACAAAATACCCCAGTCAGCTTTACATTCTTGTATATGACCTTATTGAGCGAGACATTGACTTCTGTGAAAGTTATTGACAGAGCATGTATGTACATTGTAGGCTAAGAGATGTTTATTAGATTATTTATCTATTTTTAAATATAAAAATGACTCATTCCTTATGCATTTTACTAATATGTTCATTTCCCCCTTTGATTTGATTTCTTAAATTATCACAGAGAACATGCAGTGAGAAAATGCAAAAATGTTCACAAGTACATTTCATATGAAAACGCTATTTTAATAGTAACATGTTGTCACCACATTAAATAATAGCCCAAGTGATTGTTTTTTTTTAATTTTTAGTTTGCAGAAATCATTTTTGGCAAAAAAGAAAAAAATCAGGTCATCATTCTAGGAAGGTGTCGATACAGTACTGTACAATTTCATAAGCGAACAGTAATTTAAGTCTTGTACTGACATTGTTCTAGCAAAGTTCAACTTCACCTCGGAGTAGATGTTCATGCCTCCATGTTGCTCCTTTTACACTTAAATTGCACCAGTGAGGGAAAATAAAATGTATTTCTATACTATAGTCTGTTCATTGAGTAACAGAGTTGAACAGAAAAGGTCTTCATCCTAGTTAAGTTAAAGTAGTGATTTATATTTATGTGTGTGTGTATACATATATATAAAAAAATTCCCTTCTCACCCACCGCGGGTGGTTCTTATCCTCTGAGCTCGGGTCCTCTACCAGAGGCCTGGGAGCTTGAGGGTTCTGCGCAGTATCTTGGCTGTGCCAAGGACTGCACATTTCTGGACTGAGATGTCTGATGTTGTTCCTGGGATCTGTTGTAGCCACTGCTCCAGTTTGGGGGTTACTGCCCCGAGGGCCCCGATGACCACAGGCACCACTGTGGTCTTCACCTTCCAGGCCCTCTCCAGTTCTTCCCTGAGGCCCTGGTATTTCTCCAGTTTCTCGTGCTCCTTTTTCCTGATGTTGCAATCACTTGGTATTGCTACATCTACCACAACGGCTTTCCTCTGATGTTTATCCACTACGACAATGTCTGGTTGGTTCGCCATTACCATTTTGTCTGTCTGGATCTGGAAGTCCCACAGGATCTTAGCTCTGGCGTTCTCCACCACCTTTGGGGTGTTTCCCACTTTGATCTTGGGGTTTCCAGTCCATATTCTGCACAGATGTTTCTGTACACTATGCCTGCCACTTGGTTATGTCGCTCCATGTACGCTTTCCCTGCCAGTATCTTGCACCCTGCTGTGATGTGCTGGACTGTCTCAGGGGCCTCCTTGCACAACCTACACCTTGGGTCTTGTCTGGTGTGGGAGATCTGGGCCTCTATTGCTGCTGGAAGCTCCTGCTTCCAGCAGGATATATATATATATATATATATAATATATATATATATATATATATATATATATATATATATATATATATATATATATATATATATATATATATATATATATAAGCTTCACTAATGGAAAGCCATCTCTGTGATCTGAGTGTTATCCCAACAGGACGTCGGGTTTTTAGCAGTGATAGCTGCAGGCATAAACAAGAGACGCAGACAGAAGCCTCTTTGTTTTCCAAGACAGATGCTGCCCTTTTGAGCCGCCAGGTAATGGCATCAATTTAACGGCAAAAGATTTGTGAGCCGTCTCTGGTCCGGCCTGATGCGCTCTCGTAAGCCCGGCTCAACGGGGGGAGTTCGGACGGCTGGGCTGGGCTGAGGCCGGATAAAACCCAGCAAACTGGACTTAAACTGGTCTGAACCCCGCTGGTCTCGACAGGCTTAGTGGGACTCAGGAGGAGCAAGTTGTGGGAAGAGGTGGGGGGGTTGGCGAAGATGTTGAGGGAAGAAGAGAATTTAGGCCAAAGGACAGAAAAATATTTCCACAGATGTGTTAACCTGGTGAGAGAGGAGCGATGGGATCGTCTGTGAGCCGCTCTGTGTGTTTCTGGGACCAAAAACCAGTTCAAAACTCAGATGGAAGATGTTTTATTTCCTTGCTGTACTGAAAGTAAGACACAATAAAATAATCCTGGCCATTTAATGTTGTTGTCAACAGAGTGCTTGCAGGAAAATTAATAGTTTTCAACTGAGATCACAGCAAAAACACAAAATCTTACCAAAGTATCTTTGCTCTAGTTTCCAGTGCAAATGTTATAGTACAGTTGAAATGGGACAAAACTAACTTACAAGTAGATTTCCAGCAAGAAATATGAGCTTTAAATCAATATTATTCATGAAGAAGCAGTGATGGTTGTGAAGTCTAATGGAAGGATCTGTAGTTACGCTCATTTGTGCTCCTAGGATTCACCGTCTACCAGTGAGGCTTGGCTAGCCAGAGATCTGTCTCCCGTCACCAGCACTGGGTCAGACAGTCCATGAGTGAAAGTGAAGCAGAGTCATCTGTGTGTCTCACATGATCGGCACATTAGCTGCCTTGTGATTTATTGCTGAGAAGTTTGCCTAACCCTGCAGTGGTGTTTGTTTTCAACTGTCTTGATTGATCTGTGGTTATCAAAGTAAAGAAAAAAAAACAAAAAACAAATGAACATATTGTAAGCACTTGCGTCTCTCTCCATTGTGTGTTTTTCTGTGTTTTTCAGGTTTGAGCGCTGCAAAGCTGCTGAAAGCAAGTGGGCTGAATCCTGTAGTGCTGGAGGCCAGGGATCGGGTCGGCGGCCGCACCTTTACTGTCCGGGTACGACTGACATGGTCAGCTGTTTGGTACAGCAGGAGTGTATTTCTGTAATAAAGCCTTAAAGGGGCGGTGTCATGCAAAATTGACTTTTTTGAGCTCTATGTTATATCGTTATTCCTGTTATTGTATTATAATGTATCATCGTTTTACATGTATGATGTACATCTACATCATACATGTACATGTAATTATGTACGTGGACATAATTACATGTACACAATGTTTGAAGAATCCTTTAATTTCCCATAGCAACCAGTCAGCTGTACAAAGCACCTGGATGGGCCTAACTTCACCTCCTGCAGTTTCCCATCTACTGAGATCCGTCTCATGGAGCAACCCTCCCCTAAGATTCTCCCACTCGGCTCCTTCAGACTAGCCAGCAGCAATTAGCAAACCCCTGGTGGACCTGTGCGTCTGCTGAGCTCGTTATACTAATTGTCAGAGCAACGCTGGTAAAAATGCTGTTTAAGGGTTAATAGAGGAGCCGCGTTGTGAGGACTTCCCGAAGGCGGAGTTTCACAAAAAGCAGGAGCTTCTTAAAGAGACAGAGACCCAATTTCAAGGCACTAAATTACAGAGCCAAATTTCTTTTACCTGAACATTCATTCTATTTGTGAAAAGACCAGGGAAGAATTTTGGGTTTATTTGAAGCGGTGTACATATAACTGACACGACACCATTATAAACATGAAGCAGTCTTCACAAATGTTTACGACTGTCATGAAGACAGTAAATAAATAACGACACTTAATTCAAAGTTGACACGCTCAGTGGACGTTTTCTACGAACAAAAACATGGACTCAAACTTTCTGGAGATGTTGGAACTCTTGTTTTGTTCTGGTGTTAGCAGAATTTTGTTCTGCCTGATCCTATGTGCTGCAAATAATTGTTACATATGTATTGCTTATAACAGACTCATCTCTGTTTTTTGTACAACATAACTGTCTCCCTCTGTTGCTTCCAGAACAAGGAGACAAAGTGGGTAGACCTCGGTGGGGCCTACGTCGGACCGACACAGAACCGCATCCTACGGTTGGCTAAAGAGTACGGCATTAAGACCTACAAAGTCAACGAGCAGGAATGCCTGGTGCATTATGTCAACGTGAGTCCCTCAGTTTCTTTAAGTCTCCCACTTTTCTTTCTGGACAAACATTAGATGATGTTTTTTCTCCCATCTTCCACATTTCTGCTTCCGGATTCCACTTAAAGCTGTAGATAGCCTGAGACTGTCTGATCATCTAGGCTTTACAGACCCGTTCAATAAAGTCCATTGTTATTGAAAAGTCCATTTATCACCAAGTGGAACAGAAATTCTAGAGTCATTACACACAGACTGATGTTTGAAATCCTTTGTTAATGGTAATAGTGCTGATTTTCTGCTTACTTAATGAAACATGACATTTCAAATTCATCAGATTAATAAAAACCAGAAATGTGGACTTAGTTAAAAGTGTGTTTGAAAAGTTATTTTCGAAAAGTTCTTTTATTCTGCTGAATGAGACTCGTATATTTTAGTTTGTTGACTGTTTCTTTTTGTGTGATCCAACAGTCTGTGACTGGACTGAGCAGCCCATCTGAATTAGCCTTTAGATTTATGACCCAAATCGAAATGATATGCTTGATGGTCAGGCGTGTTTTTAATAAGCCTACAACAAACCAGCACAGAGAAAATTAAGGTGCCATAAAACTTGCTGTCGTTTACTTATCTAGTCTAAACAGAGGAACAGGAAGCTTTAAAAAATGAAAGTAACGTGAATGAACTAATTAGACTTAACTAGTCATGTTGGATCATGATTGGACACGATGTCCACGGCTTTTCTGTATTCCAACAAAGCGTGAGCTCAGCCTTTTTCTTTTTATCCTTCTTTATTTTTAAATACCAAAATGATGTGTCCATTTCTTTCCTAAATGATGAATAGTCAGCTGCATTCTTGTCGTCTGCTTTTTCAAACTTTGTTCATAGTTGTGTTTACAAAAATCAGGTTTTGTGTGACGATTTTAACCTGAAACCAGTTTTAGTGGTTGTAGTGGATATTTAACTGTTTAATGTTAAGAGCTCAAGTAAAGTCACGTTGCAGTGTGGGGGAGAAGTCACTGAAAAACAGGATTTAGCAATGAACAAAGTTGACATTTGAAGCTGTCTTCTGCTAATGATTACCACACTCAGCACGGCTATCATTAAAACATTTGGTCCAGTTTAAAGAGCAAATATTTTAAGAAGAAATATGAAAAAACTAATTTGCAAGTAACTTTTCAGCCAGCTTGTTTTAAGTCAATAAATCCTTTATGTTGATGAAAAGGTGATAGTTCCACCAGAAGAGTAGAAGTGATTTAATCTGCCAGTGGAACCAGCACTTTCTATCAATACTAAGAAATTATGAGCTTACAACAATCTTCTGTATCTTGATGAAAAGATATAGGAGCTTTGAAGCTTTTCAGCTTAAGTTAGCTTTGTTTTTCATCTACGCAATATTTTCACCACGAACTGGACGAAAAATACCTGGTAAGATTTTTCTAGTGCTCACATAAACAACAGCTGGCTGTGTTCTTCCCTCTGTAACACCATCCACACCCAAGAGTCTGGATTAGCATGTTGCTTTCACAGTCGGTCACCGTTCAGGGTCAATTAAACCGAACATGGATTAGTATGGAGGACTTTCAAATTTTGCAAATATAATCTGTGCCATAATCCTTACAGAACATATTCGATTGAGTGTGTGGGAGAGTAAAATCTTAATTTTAAATAATCCTGGTTATTTTGCTTGGCACAGAGTTAGTCACCGTTGCTGTACATGCTCCAATTCTTGTTGCAGTTTGCTAAAAGTTTGCAGTCAGTATCTCTGGATCATTTTTTCCCCTCACGTTGGTCGCACCCTGGGCTACATGATCCTGACCATTAGGGACAGGAGGGCTTAAAAACCAAACCATATTGTCTCAGCCAGCAGGACAGACAGCCTTACTCTCCTCTCCACCATTACTGACCAGGAAGCTAATCTTTGCCTGAGGGATTTCTGTAATGTAGTTTCTTAATTCTTTAAGGAAATGAAAGGCAAACAAAGAGATACCGTTTTGCTTTGTTTTCTCTGTTCTCCGCCTCATATCTCGTTCGGGTGGGTGCACCACTTTCCCTGCCACAGCTGAGCTCCTCCGCCTGATTAAATTAGCCTCTGCTGCCATATACTCTGATAGTCAGGTTGTAAAGCTGAGTAGTGCGGCTGGCAGCTCTCCCACAGGAAGTGCAGGCTGTGCTTCAATCATAAGTGCAGATGTGAACTTTGAGCTTTTGTCCTGAAGGTGTGGACACAATAGCGTGCAAATACACTTCCAAAGCGTTATCTGGAAAATTGTCCAAATGTCCACCACCGCTCACCGTAGCGTTCAGTTAAAGCCGCGGTAATCTCACAGTGCCGGGCTTGTAACGGGGCAAATAGTGCTGTTCGCAATACTATTATCGTATCGTTTATCACGATGAATTTCTTGCACGATTTTAATTTGACGTTGTCGGAAGAAAATTCCAGTTATTGATATTTCAAAACTAAAACTATTGGTATTGTCAGGGTTACTGTTCTAACTATTTTCCGCCTAAGTTTGTTCAGTGATGGTATCAAAAAATATCAATACACCCGAAAATATGCCAAAGCAAGTGACAAACAGCAACGCCACTGTACGTATCGGGATTCAACACCAAAGAAACAACAGGACATTCAGTCCGTTGCATTCAGTGCTGCGTTGTCATTTCTCTATTTGTAATCAAGCTGCACCAGTGATATGATGACTGGTTGCCAGTGCAGCGTGGTTTGGACCCACCGCTGTGTCCATAGCTCTCATGTTCTATTGACCTACTTCAGCTGCTGTCTGTCGTGTCACCAGTGAACACACAAGCGGCGGTGAGAAAAGAAATCCCTCGCTGACTGTTGTTGTCACGTGAGCTCCTGCGTCTCCTTGGCGCAGCACTCACGGCTTCCTGGCTGGTTTCCATGGCAGCCGTCCTCATCAAAAGCTGCTCAACAAGACGCCTCTGAGTGGATGTTTTTGTGTGTCAGTGTGGCTTCGTATTTAAAACAGTGTAAGGGCCATTTTTCTAACCACTGCTATGTTGTGGGGACCGACTGCTTTGCTCCTCATGCTGCTTTGGGTTCGGTTATAGAAACGAATCAAAAAATGAATTGGAGTCAATGCCACGTCCACGTGAAGATAGACAGAACCACTATGTGTGTGTGTGTTTGTGCTTTCATTCTTTTGAACAGCTGAACTCTGCAGAAACCTGGGAGAATCTGATTGGTTGGATGTCCGTGTTGAATATTGAACAACTGTCCATGTGTCTGAGTCCAAACACAGGCCGCTTTAAGATTTACACCATATAACCTCAAGTGAAAATAGTCAATTCTATTTTGCTGTCCTAATGTATTACATGGTCTAAATGCTGTATTTGGAGCAGAAATGCTGTTGTTTGAAACGATATGCTAACAGTGGCTATCCCCAGACTTCTATAAGAAGTTTTTCCATTTTCTTGTTTTTGTTGCCATTTAAGTTCCTTTTTTTTCATACTTTAATAACTGACTGCTTGCTCCGGCTTATGGTGCATGTAGACAAGGCTGGTTTCATTTGTACAACACCAGCGACAAATAATTATTAAAAGTAAAAGTACATTAAAACAATCACAATAAGTTTGAGGCATGACTTGAATCATCTATTTTTTGTAAAGTGCTTCAAGATGACATTTTTTTGTGAATTGGTGCAATATGAGTGGACTGAATTGAATGAAAGTGAACTGATTTGAATAGAACTAACAACTGAACCGGCAGGCTGCCCGGTACAAGTGGTGTAATGCCGTCCAATCTAGCTTGGCCTGAGCTATGCAGTTCCTGTAGAAAGCAAACAGAAGTGACCCAAGAACACAGCCTTGAGGAACCCCATGTTTGAGCTTTATTTGTTCAAACTTAAAGGAGGTGGCAAGTTTATAAAAGGCTGTCATTCTTGGACAAAGAGCGTTTGGAAATTAAACTTATGGAATTTAAAACAAGGAATGTCTCGGTTGTAAAGATTCCAACAAAGCTTGAATTTTGAGTCGTACAGAAGCGCGTCAGAAAAATGAAGCCAAAAGGATGGCGGCATCCGAATGCTTCCTATCATCCTAATGTTGCTTCATGAAGGCTGATGTTTACAACATCTGGCTGTCGTTTTTTTTTCTGGTGAAACCGGGACTTTGTAGTAATCTAGCAAGCCTTTGTGTAATTAGGGTTAGCTTTCATGCAAGCCGCCAAGCTAATCAGCTTTTCTGTTGCAGATTCTAATCCTAAAGGCCAGAGCTGGTTTCCTTCATCAGCCAACTAGTGTCTAACAGGCAGTGCAGCTCCGCACTGGACTCACTATCAGAGGGGAAACTCTCTGAATAAATACGTTGCTCCTTATCAGAGATTGGGAAAGAGCCCTGCTGCTCCCTCTGTACCGTGGAGAGTTCTGATGGGTTGAGCAGCTTCTGTTCCTCTCTGTGGAGGCTCATGCTTTGTAAGGCCTTGAATCACGTCTAGAGTAATTCATGGGAGTTTTACGGCGCATTCACTGTTTGATCCGCTTTCGTTGAAAACTCGGGTCTTGGTTTGGTTGAAGTAAACTCTGGTGCGGGTCAAATTTGTTTTGAGAACAGCAAGTGGAGCGGAGAGCGCTCCAAAAGCAGGCAGTGGACTCTAGCACAAGGCATTTTGGGTAAAACCAACCAAAGCAAGCTAGCAAGTTTGCGCTGACGGGAGAAATAGCTGCTGATCTTCAACCAATTGGAAAAGAGAAATCCGATCAGTGGTTCTTGGTGCAGCGCCGCCACAGGCGAGGAGGGGAACGGGTCTCTCAAAGGGTTTGGTTGGTTTGACTCTGCAGTGTGAAAGAGAACCGGCTCAAAAATGACTCCTCATTTATAACTCACTTTACGAGCTGAAAAAAAAAAATCCAATGAAAAGAAATTATGATGCCGACATAAATGACAGGAAAAATGGCTGTGTTGGATTTGTGTACACATTTCTGCCTCGGTTCTAATCATAGTGGTTTTTGGATTTGAGTTGTGGGCTGTTGCATAATTCTAGCACCGGACCAGGACTCAGTATCTGAGCAGATCCAGTTAATGTGACGTTTGAGCCGCTCCATCCTGGAGAGCCGCTGTCTGTTCTGACTGACCTGCGGCTCACTGATGTGGAAGGACAGCGGCAGTCTTTCTCCTCCCTCCGCTCTCCGTCTGTCTATTCAGTTGGCCAGCGTAACCATGGTGAGGGATCACAGCACCAGGTAATAAACATGCTGTTCCTCATCCTCTGCAGGTGTAAAAAAAAAAAAAAAAAGACAATATCGCCAAATATTTTGTGGATTTCAGCTGAAAGGGAAATTCACGTTTTACCTGGAGCCGTTGCAGAAACAATAATACTGGTTTATTTTTTTTATAACCAATCTTTTATTTCTGCACCTTTGAACCATCTGGGGTCTGCAGCCACAAGTGACCCTTTATGTCCTCTAGTTTGGCTCTTAGTAACTATTGAGCAACTTTTTAAAATGTAAGAGTAATAAAGAAATGTTGTTGCACTAAATTCTCTATCTAAGTACCTTGGATTTAGAGTTTTGCAGTATTTTTTTTAATGCAGCAGCATATTAGAGCAAAAAAACCCAAAAAACTCTCAAGTTTTAAGATCAATCTCAGAAATTGTCCAAAAAAAAATAAACAAAAAAACCAAACTTGTCCCTCTAACAAATTTTCTCTACATTTTCATCTCAAAATGTTAGACTGTTACTTTTGAAACTCAAAACTTTTCTTTATTAAATTTTTTTTAGGAAAGTTTTCTTTGGCAGAAATTTAGCCCTACTCTATTGTTCTATCTACATTGGCTTAATGCGCCGTCGTTTATTTTATTTTATATTTTATTTGGTCATTAAAAAAAAAAAAAACATGTCGATTTTGTTCTCTCAGCCGGACCAAATACAAAAAATGTCTCTTTTAGCTGTGAAGGCTGCTGACGGCTGGGTTTGGATGAATGAGATGCGACAAAAATCATGTTAATAAATGACAGAAAGGGCTCAAATTCAAAAATGGCCTCTGAATAGATGTGTTCCTGTAGACTGCACAGTGCGTGCTGTCAGAAGCAGCTCAGGCCCGGTTCTGCTTGGAGGCCCGGCCTGAGGGTCGGCTCAGGAGGCCCAGGCTGCTGTTTTATACGACAAGTGAACCAAGCACACATTCAAATTCTTCAGTGGACAGAAGAGAATAAAAATACCCCGGTGCAAAACTTTTACTGTCACATGCAGCCTGTTGTTCAACTGAACCGGCTGTTGTGTCGACCTGTCGCTGCAGGTAAATGAGCTTTTGCTCATTTCTGTGCTGCCTGGATTTTTGGACTTGGTTTTGCTGACTTCATCATCAAAAACCTCATTTGTTCATTTCAACCCGAGTCCTCAATGATGTCCTCGCCACCACTCACCGCACCTCTTGACAGAACGGTTTTTATTATTATTCCTGTTCTCTGATGTTTTAAGAATCGTTGAAAGAGAATTTTGTTTGCATTCAACTTACCTGGTAAACTAAAAGTTAAGTGAATCTTGTCCACGTTAACCACATTATTAACAATGTTGCAGAAAAATTTCTCATTGACCAGAGGGGGGCTCTTTGAATTTTTGACCTGCAACTGGTTTGGAGAAACGAGTTTCCAGAGTCGTAAAAGAGAAATGGCTGATTGTTTGAGTTTGGCACCGGACACTGGGACATGTGAGCGAATCCAGGGTCACAGAAGGTTTATCCAAAGCAATCTGAGCTTTTAAAGTTCAGTCAATTGAGTTTCAGCATTTTAACAAAAGAAATAAATAAATAAACGACGTCTGCAGTTACAACATTCCCAAACCGATTTTATCTGTCGACAAAGGCTGATACCTGCTAGCATTCAGTTATTGTTTAATATCAAAACGGGGTTTTATGAGCAGAAAACAGCTGGTGAAAGATCAAGTCAAATCTTTACAAGGAAAAATGAGGCTGATGTGGTTTTATGTAAGCAAACCAAATTAAACGACAGTGAATTACATTGAACAGCCAGTAATGGTTTGAAAAGACTTCTGGTCCCAACCACTGCAAAATGATGAGTTTCTCTGATTTGACTTTTGCAGGTTTGAGTAAAATGAACTTTGTTCCTTTATTCTGTGACCTCCTGACAACATGTCTCTGAAATTCCAAGCAAAAATGTTGGTTTTATTTGCAGAAAATGAGACATTGTCAAAAAGATGCAGAGCTTTCAGACCTGAAATAATGCAAAGAAAACAAGTTCATATTCATTTGGAAACAACAAAACTAAAGTTTCAAAAACTCAAGAAGAGTTCAGGAATCAGTATTTGGTAGAATAATCAGAAGGTTTAAATATTTTTGTCTTAAATTTAAGTGAATGTTGCATTGAAAACGTCTGTAAAAGTCTTGAACTTGACTTGAAGAAGACCTGCAGGGTGTCAGCGGGACGATCTAACGGTCACTGGAGGTCGGCCGTAAACCAGAGTGAACGTGGAATCTGCACGTTTCCACTGAAGCTTATCTGTCTCAATTTGTGCCCACTCATCACTTTTTCCCAATGTGGCACATAAACAGCAGGTGGTCCCATTCAAACGGTGTGTGGAGATATGGAGGCTGTTATCTGGAGTCGTAAAATATTATGCAAGTCCTTCCTCTTTCGTCCACACGAGACAGGAGTCCTGATCAGTCACTCTGACTCAGCAATCTGGAGGTCAGTCGGAGGACAAAGGGCAACCGCTATGCTAATCTGAACAGGTCACGCACATTCAGCAAATTTACATTATGGAGTAAAGGGGATTCCAGGTCAAGCTTCCAGTCCAGAACGGAGGTTCATGAGGAATAAAGTTTAGTTAAACTGAAAATGCTCTGAACTGATTGGGATTCAGAACTTTGATGGAAGTTGGTCCTATCAGGTGTTTCTTGGCTAATATGGTTTGTGTTGTATTCCATTCAAGTTGTTGAGAAAAATATATGTTGGTCATTTTGACGCTGATATTTAATAGCTTTGCCATGGAGAAGACATGAGAGGAGTTGTGGTTCAAGGTGACTGCAGTCAGAGAGTATCGGTGGAATTGATGGTTCCAATATGGCAGCCAATACTTACATCGACTGTCTGTCTCTCTGTAAACAATCTTATCTGCCTCCATTGTAAATCCCGCGATAAAGGAAGCAGTCTTCAGTGATTTATCAAGTTTCGGGGGAGATGATAACGGTGTTTTTTATCAATCGGACAGGGAAAGTCGTACCCGTTCAAAGGCTCCTTCCCTCCCATGTGGAACCCCTTCGTCTACATGGACTTCAACAACCTCTTCAGGACGATGGACGAGATGGGCCAGGAGGTGACGCTACGCTCAGTCTGGATCATTCACATCGCTGTTTGCTGCAGCTCTCTCATGCTGCCGTCTGAATTTGTAGATTCCCAGAGAGGCGCCGTGGAGAGCTCCCCGTGCCTTAGAGTGGGACAACATGACCATGCAGGAGCTGATCAACAAAATCTGCTGGACCAGGTGACAGAACTGAAGATTTCCAGTTCAGCTTTGTTTCGTTTTTTTCAATCTCTCTAAACTTTGTAGCATCCTAAAACATGCCTCCGGTTTGCAAATGCCACATAAATAAAATCATACCACGTCCAAATATTTCCTAAATGCACGTGGGTCAGTGTCACCATGTCAGTAACCTCGTTTTCTCCTGTCTTAAAAAAATAATAAGATCATTAAAAATGTCAATTATTCAAAACGTTAAGCAAACAGTTGGAACCAGATATTTAAATACACTGTCAACCAGGTTGCCAGCCAGAACAATGACATATTACCTTACTTTTATTTCTTTACTAGATGTCAAACACATCTAGTATTGACCTGAGTTGAAAGGTCACGCAGACAGGAAGTCTCACACAGAGGGATCTGTCTGAAATGGGGTTTTTTTCTGTTCATAAAAATTGTAGCCAATGAAAAAAAAGTTTTGCAGAAACTGAGAATTTGATGTTAGACCAATTGAAAAGCATCATTAGAGATGGAAATAAAAAAATTAAAAAAAAGATCATATTGGTGCAGGAAGCCATGTGCTTCATGTATTTTTGTCATTGCCCTGTTTCCCTCCACAGTGCAGTTCGCCGCTTCGCCACCTTGTTTGTCAACGTGAATGTGACCTCTGAACCCCACGAGGTGTCGGCCCTGTGGTTCCTCTGGTACGTGAAGCAGTGCGGGGGGACGATGAGGATCTTCTCCACCACCAACGGGGGGCAGGTGTGTGTGCTGGGCCAAGTTTCTGTCATCCAAATGGAAAACCTCCACGTTAAAGGGGTGGTATCATGTAAAATCGACTATTTTTAAGCTTTAGATTATGTTATTGTCTTATCCCTTCAACAAAAACATTGCTATAACTCTTTTATGCATGTTTGAGAAAACATTTAATCTCCTGTGGCAACCATTCACAGGGGTGCCTCAGCGCTTGCGCTGATCAAGCTCTGCCTTTTCCACAGAGCTCCCCCTCAGCTGCAGTTTCCTTCTGCTCTCAGCTCCTTCAGACTAGCGGCGGCAGCAGTTAGCAAACGCCTGATGGAGCTGAGCATTTGCTGATCTTATCCTAAGAATGATGATAAAGGCTAAATGGGGAAACCGTTGCGTTGGAAAGAGCAGGAGCTTCTTAAAGAGACAGAAGCCAAATTTCAAGGCCTTATATTGCAAAGTTCCATGTCTTTTAAGTCTCATCCAAGGTACACAGAACAACTGACGGTAATGTAGTTCTTCATTGTGCTAATTGGTATAAAACGCATAACACCGCCCCTTTAAATGAAATTAAATGTGAACCTGTTTGGGGCCGTCAGTGACAGATCCTGAATTGGTCTCGGTGTTTTTTTGTCCGCACTGCGTCGGCTCAGCTTCATTCCAGGCCTAACAAAGGCTTCTTTCTGGTGGTGCTGGTTTCCTGAGTTCACTCCCTTCCAGAGCTCAGTGTCCCCTCGTTGCCATAACGACCGGGGCCTGGAACTGTGTCTCTGTAAACCACTAATGTCGCTTTGCAGTTTTCAAGTTCTAAAATTTACACAAAATGCAAAATGATGCATGAAGCACAGCGGGGTGCAGCCACTGCAGCTTTTGAAAAAAAAAATCAGTTTCAGGTATTTATTTCTTTTTAAACCGTGATGATTAATGTCTCGCTCGGTTCTCTGCCAGGACCGATTCAGGTTCAGTTTTTAATTTATTTGCGTCTCACTGGCGAATTGTACCCAGAGGCCAGAATGGAATCCGCCCGCCGCGGTTAGCGATCGGGGAAGGCAGAGACGCCGACGCCAAGCACATGGAAAAGGTCGCTGCCTAATCAATTTTGTGAGTCAGAGCGCTGGCAGCGCCTTGTCTCTCTCTGGCCCCCCGCCTCCCCCAAACCGCAGACTGTCTTCATGATTTAGCAGCTGGTGGCCTGAGCTCTGCACACGCAAATTTGCAGCAAAGGGAAAGGAAGACAAGTGAAGATAATAGAGCAGAACATTTGGGAGGGCAGCAGATTTGATCAAATCCTCCACTGTTTGGATTGACACTTTTAAAAATCACTGGAAAATCTCTTTATGTATACAATCATTATGCATACATAATGATTGTACAGCAAGACTGTAACAAAACGACAGTAAAACTGCATTAGAATTACAGTAAACTTGTAACAGAACTGCAACAAAATTAACAAAATTGCAGCAAAACTGTAATATAATTCTGCAAAACTAAGTGTTACAGTAAAGCTAACAAAATTCCAGTAAAAAAAAAAAAAAAAACCCAACCTCAACTCCTCACAGTAATTCTTGAATCCCTCTAATGGAAGCGCAGAGGTTTTTAATATTCATCTTGACCTTTAGTTTTTCTAAACTTTCCCTCTTAGGTGGTTTGTTTCATTTCTAAGCTCCTCTGCACACACTTGACAAACGTGTGACGTCTGAGGTGTGCAGGTGTTTCACCTGAACGTTTTTCTGACCGGCGTTCTCTTGGTCGTCCGGTGAAGGAGAGGAAGTTTGCGGGCGGCTCCGGTCAGATCAGCGAATGCATGGCCAAGGAGCTGGGCGACAGGGTGAAGCTGCAGTCGCCCGTCTACAGGATCGACCAGACCGGAGACATGGTGGTCGTGGAGACGGTGAACAAAGAGACTTACACGGTGAGTGGAACCAAACCGCCGGGACGAGGAATCGACATAAACCGCAACGTCAGAGAAGATGGGCCGCCATGTGAAGCAGAATACAAATTATTTATTGATCATTTTCAACCTGAGTTCAGGTGAAGTCACTACAAAACAAGACATTTAAATGGACAAACTTTATTGTTTTCTTTTAAACTACTCACCTATTTGCATTTTGATGTCTGCAACACCTTCTAAATCAGTTTCATGGCAAACCTCAATGAGCTTTTGGGAACTCCTTGTTGAAGCTTTTGTATTTTTGAATTTTTTCTCATCGTTGTTTGAGATACTTCAGCGGCTCAACGGCCTCGGCTGCCGTATTTTGTGCTTCACAATTCAACAAACCTTTTCAAAAGTCACGGCTGATCAGCGCCGGTTCCTCCAGGTTCCTCCAGATTCTCTGAGTCTTTTGGTGACACTTTGAACTGCAGACCATGAAATCCCTAAACTCCCTGCAGTTGCACTTTGAGGGCCGTTGCTCCTAAAACGTCGGAACCGTTTGCTCTCAAAGCAATGAACCTCTTGTGAGCGTCTGAGCCTTTGGAGGACGCTTCCTCTGTCCCCCATCCCGACTCACCTGATTCTGGTTCACAAACGAGAGATTTCTTCTGAGTATTTTTCAACTTTCCTACTTTCTTGTTGCCAATATTTTTAAGAACGTGTTGCCGGCGTCAAATTCCAGATATTTGCATGACTGCAATAAAGTTTCCCCTTTGAACATTAAACATTTTGTCTTTACAGAGAGTTCAGTCAAATTCAGGTCAAAAGAAACTTTAAAATTATCATGTTCTGCTTTTATTCATCGTCCCAAATTGACTGGCGTTGCCTCATTTCAACCACATGTGGCTTTTAAATTATTTTATTCAGTTGCTGTTTGACTCATAACTTTAGTTTTTTCATTCGTTTCTACTCCTCCCTCTTTCTTTTTGTAATTTTATATGTATTAATTGGAATTAAACTTGGACGTGTTGCATAACCTGAGAGCAGAAGCACAAATCTCAGAGGAGAGAAGGTTTGTGTTTTGCTGCCCTCTGCTGGCCGTGTCCGTCCTGAATTGTTCCTCTGGCTTTCCTTCGCTTCAGGCCAGATACGTCGTCGTGGCAACGCCGCCCGCCCTCAACCTGAAGATGCACTTTAACCCCGAGCTGCCGCCCCTCAGGAACCAGCTGATCTACCGCGTGCCCATGGGCTGCGTCATCAAGTGCATGGTCTACTACAAGGAGAACTTCTGGAGGAAGAAGGGTACGGAGAGCGGGACGGGGGTGGCCAGGGGGCGGCCGGGGGGCAGGAGGCGGCCAGGGGGGCTGCGTCCCGGTCGGCTGGTTCTAACGTTTGGTCTGGTCAGGTTACTGCGGCACCATGGTAATCGAGGAGGAGGGGGCTCCTATAGGCCTGACTCTGGATGACACAAAGCCTGATGGGACCGTTCCTGCGATCATGGGGTGAGCCGCCAGTTACACAACACCAAAATGTTCCAGAGAGAAAAAAAGGGGGGAAAGGTGTTTTTCTTACCACATTTTAAAGACTTAAAAAGTTATTTAATTATTTATGTCAGACATGGTAGAAGTATAAAATCACTTACTTGGACAAGGAATGCAAAAGACATATTTTTGTACAAAAATCTCAACATTTCAGATTATGAAAGTCATTTTTATTTCTGATGAGGAAAACTTGAGGAAAAATAAAACGACAGCTTTCAAATAGTGATTTCTTTTGCGAATAGAAAAGAACAACAACCTGACCCGAAGTGACAGGACTGCCTCATAATGAACTAAACATGATGAACCACAATTTTGGAAAACGCACTTCAGTTCTACAAACAAATTTCCTGAGCTGTAAACTGAAAAAAGTCATTTAAAGGGGCGGTATGTTGACACATAGTGACATTTTATAGCACAATCAGTCACTATGTTACCTTCAGTTACTATAAAAATACTCCATATCACGTGGCGCTGATCTAAATAAATATAAATATATAAATCTACATCTCTCCCTCTTCCTGCAGGTTCATTCTGGCTCGCAAGTGCAGAAAGCTGGCAGACCTGACCAAAGAGGAGAGGTGAGGAAACACGCCGGCGACCGGCCGTCAATCTCCCCCCAGGCCGCAAGCCAGCTTTAGCCTGAACTTTGTGTTTGTTTTCGCTCAGGCTCAGGAGGATCTGTGAGATTTACTCCAGAGTGCTGGGCTCAGAGGAAGCTCTCCACGTGAGTCAGAACCACGAGCAGCAACACGGCAGAACGGCCAACCCGCCTCTCACACGGCCTCTGGTGTCTTTCAGCCGGTGCACTATGAAGAGAAGAACTGGTGTGAGGAGGAGTACTCCGGCGGCTGCTACACAGCTTACTTTCCTCCTGGAACCCTGACTCAGTTTGGCAGGTGAGTTATCCGCAGCCCACGCGCTTCTTGTTGCAGATGTTGAGTGTTCAAACCTCTGCTGCTGCGCAGGGTTAAAGGCTGAGGAGCGAAGTGAGTTCAGGTTCAGTTCTGGTTCAAAGGGTTTAAGGGTCCAAAAGCCGGTTTCCTTCTTACTTGCCTTCCATTCATTCATTCATTCATTCATTCATTCATTTTGAATGGGTCTATCTCCAGCAGGGTCAACCTGGACAGGTCATCAGTCTGTTGCATACTTGTCATTCAATTCAATTCAAATTCATAATACTTCATTAATCCCCAAGGGGGAAATGAAATATTCAATTAAGTATAATATTTTGTAATATAAATTAAATAGAAACCTGTGCTGGAAATCTAATGTGTTGGCAAAATGTAGTGCAGTTAAAGTTCCTTTTATTATTTCTGCTTCTGTTTATTTAATGTTTATTTAATCTTCATTTTGTTGTCCCGGTAATTATTGCAATAAATGATAGTATTGTTGTCTTGACACTATTTTCAAGTAATTTATTGATAATACTTACAATAATTATTAATAATGCACGTTTGTTCTCTCAGAGTTTAATAAACTTTAATTTGTAAAAACTTAACACTTGAACTGGTAGGTATTATAAGTATCCAAAACTAAACATGGCAACCAAAAATAACAAATAAAAAAAACCCACTTACAACCTAAACTGTAAATAAAATGAAATGACGTCTCTGAACAAGTTTACCCTTCAAAAAAACAACAATCATTAGAATAGAAATTAATTAATTAATTGGTCAGGCAATTAAATAATTACAAAAGTATACAAACTTAAGATTTCTTACATTTTTAAACTTCTAAAGAGAATGTCTGAAGTTTTCTCTTTTTATCAGCTCTTTTTAAGTTCACCAAAATCTACATTCAAAAACCTTCATCCTACAAACGCAAAATCCCATTTCATTTAGTTAAAAAGGAAGTATTCTCATTTCGTCTTCTGAGGATTTTGCGCTGATTCCTTCGGTGGTTCTTGGCGCAGCGCCGCCGCAGGTGAGGAGGGGAACAGTTTTTTCAAAGGGTTTGGTTGGTTTGACAATGCAGTGTGAAAAGAACTGCAGCAACTGAAAATGTAACAAATGTCGCAACTTTGGTCCCAAATTTAACCACGTCTAACAGACTGTCAGGTGTGAAAACATTCTTAGTTTTAATGTAGTTAGTGTTAGACTCTTCTTTATGCTTTGCATTATCAGCCAAGTGGACTTCACAATACTATTCTTAGGCAAAAAAAACACAGCTTGTAAAAAGTAACCATCAAGCACGCTGCCTCATTTCTAGCATCCAGCTGAATAAATCACTTTTTGCTAAGGGGGATTTCAGGATGAGATCAACAGATGTAAGAGATCTGGAGCTGGAGTTCCTCATGCTAATGAACATCTACAGCAGTCACAAGAAATCCAGCACATTTCCCACAACATTAGTGTGCTCTAGCAGCACTAGGAAGCTTTCCAGTGGCGTAAAAATGTGGATATGAAAAGAAGATGGAAGCTAAAGCCATCAATCACAGCACGAATCAGTAAAACAACTCGTCCGGCGTGTTCTCCGTCGTTTCCTGTCTGCAGGGTTCTGAGGGAGCCTGTTGGCAGGTTGTACTTCGCCGGCACGGAGACGGCGTCAGAGTGGAGTGGCTACATGGAGGGTGCGGTGCAGTCTGGGGAGAGGGCTGCCAGAGAGGTCAGAGGACGCTTTGCATTTTTTTACGGCCTCCCCCCACATACATTTATGACTATAAAAAACAAAACCCACATCACTATCCGAAACAAGTAAGAGGAAAGTTTCTCCTCCCAGCATTATCGCTCCAAACATACGGTCAATGCTACAACAGACGAGCTAGCATGACCTCCTCTCTGAAGAAATGCACAGCTACCAGTTAAAAACAACCAATCAGAGCCAGGGGGAGGGTCTTTGTGCTGTCAATCAATGCTGCAATTTACCAACACAGAAATACTGCTTATCCATCTTTATCACTGTCTATGCTAAGCTAATTAGTCTTAGCATTCATGGCAGGTTATGTTGTGGTGGACTGGCTGTGGAGTAGCATAAAGAGCAAGTGAGCACCAGAGTGATTGACAGCACTAAGACCCGCCTCTTGGCTCTGATTGGTGAATTTCTTGCTACTGGAAGCACTGGAAGCTAAGATTTTTTTATCTGTCTCAAATAATCATGTCACAAAGTAATGATTATTTGAACAAATATGTAGAAACATCTTTTTTTCCCCCACATAAGTTACATCCTGCAGCCTTGAGTCTGACTTCAGTCTGAAAGTCGACTTGAGTCTTTACTCCCTGCGTCTGCTGTAGAATCCATACAAACCAAAGCCTGTTTTTATTATGTCTCGACCCGCTGCTCTCACAGGTCTTGTGTGCGATGGGTAAAATCCACCAGAGTCAGATCCACCAGCCAGAGCCTGAGAGTCAGGTGAGGGTTGTTTTCACGTCTCGCCTTTCAGTCGTTCAGCCAGCCATAACGTCCGTCTCTTCCCCCTGCAGGACATTCCTGCCCTGCCGTTCGTCACCAGCTTCTGGGAGAGGAACCTGCCGTCGGTCGGCGGATTCCTCAAGCTCACGGGCGTCTCCGCCGTCCTGTTGGCCGCTGCCACGGCGGGCCTGGTGGCCCACAAAAAGGGCCTTTTCCCCAGGAGTTAAAATGCTTACGCCTCGCCTTCTCACCCTTCTGCAACTCAACAGGACACAACTCAATAGAAACCGCATTCATGCACTTCTGGGGGGTTTTTGTATTTCTTTATTGGGGGATTTCGAAACACTAAGCCATGAAAGGCAGACTCTCCAAATGACGCAAAATCAGATTGACTTTGATTCAAAGAGTGAGCGGTTGTTTAGTCTTAGAGAGAAGAGCTAACTGTTTAATTAGCACTTAATCTGTATCTTAGGTTATTAAACAAATGAAGGAAAAACAATCTGGAATCAAAATAAATCTTCTCTAATAATGTTCCACACATTCATCCTTCTCGTGTGTGTGTGAGTGTGTGTGTGTAAGCTCTGTCTGTTTGCATGTGCACCTGTTTTGGTAATTCTGCCTTTGTTAGTGTCTGTTTGTTGAAGTGTGTGTAAGCGTTTCTGTGGGTGTGTGTGGTGTGTGTGTGTATCTGTTGTCTCTAATTACCTCTGCTGATTTTAGGTGCTGGTTCATTCTGACTCTGCTTGTTTAATGAGATCCAGTAACACAGAAAGTGAGTAGGGCTGTGCCATCATCAGTTCTAATTTCATAGAGGACAATCAAGATTAAGGATGTTTTCTTTTTGTTTGTTTTGGGGTTTGTTTTTTTTGTCAGTTTGTGACCTGAATGTCCCATTAAAACGTGAAGAAAAGAAAAATAAAACAGCAGCTCTGTGACGTAGTGTGTCTGTTTGAGCCATTCTTACTGCTGCTGTGCGTTTTTCATCTAATCGGTCTTCAGTATTTACCGCGTCCAGGTAATGTTAGCTAAACAGCAGAGTATTCTCAAGTTCAATGTTTGATTTTTGTTTAGTATGTCATACAAATGTGGTTGTATATGTAAGAGAAGTTGCTCCGGGGTCCAGATGCACAATTTTTGTATTTTTTTAAAATCTAAAGTAACTATTCATTTATTGTCTAAACTCACTTACGTCCATGGCAGTTAGCTGGAGGAGGGGAGTGAGATTGTTAGGGGTGTGGGGTATTAAGGGGTGTGTCTCCAGACATCATTGATAAAGATGTGGATAAATTAGAAGGCAAAGTTTTGGAAATGTGTGAAAATTCAGAGCCATTTCTCACTTGAGTTGTAATTAATAAACAACAGACTCACCGCAGAGACAGCTAGGAAACAATTAATGACTGTTAGCTTTAGCTGCCTGTGGCTAATTCATTCATTAACTGTAGCTAGCTTGAAGTTGTAAGATGTCCCTCTCTGGAGCAAATTAAGCTAGTTGGCTGTGGCACGCTATCTGTAGCTAATTGTGGATAATAAATGGTAAGGCTAGCTGTGGCTAGCCAGCTGTAGCTATCTTTGGTTGTTCATTTTTAAAGCTAACTGTTGATTTTGGGCTGTAGCTAGCCAAAGAAAACTGACTGTCAAAACTTGTGGCTATTAAAAAGGTAAAGGTGGCTGTGTCCTGTTGGCTGCAACCAGATGTAGCTAATAAATTATAAAGTTAGCTCTACGTTATGAGCGTTCCCTAGCTAAATATGTTATAGTGATAACTGTGTATTTAAACAGTTTTGATTTTCACTATTATATGCTGAGCTCCCTAGGTTAGCAGAGCATAGCTGTCCATGATTAGCTAAAATCCACAAATACTTCCAAAAATGCTTAGGACTGCATCATTTAATCATGATGCAGTCCTAAGACAATTTATACCAGATATAAATTGTCTTTGTGCTACTGCAGAGGGTTTCATACAGCCTTCATTCATAATTTGACACAGCCAACCAGCAGCATGAAGAGTAAATGCAACTTCTGGATTGGCTATTTTGCAAACACCAGGCAACTAGCATTATGTTATTCCAGCCTCCCAAGGTGTGTTTTCTTTTAGCTGGAATAGTTCAGATATGATCTACAAAAAAATAGAAAGTACAGCAAATAGGTGAACAATGAATATGACTGAACTCAGTTATTAGAGATGGAAAAGTCACCGTAGTCACCTAAAGTTTGCTGACACTTAGCATACACCAAAGTAGTAATTTTAGTGTTAGTTTAAACTAAAAGGTGTAAGAATGCAGATCCTTTTTCTCCCGCTTTCAATTATACTGTAATATAGAACTGATGTTATGTGTGAACATTTTCAGTTTCAAATCTGCAGTAAAGCTTCAACTTTGTAAGAACTGCATTATTCGAAACCTAAGATGTATAAATCTAAAGATATTTTATTGATTTAAGACTGAGTTAAAAAATAACAAGATAAGGAAAGTCACAATAGATGACGCCGATCTATGGAAGAGAACTTGTGTTGGTGTGTCGGCCATGTTAAGAGAACTGTACAGTGTATGTATTCAGTAAGGATTGTGTTCTTGTTCCAAAGACTGGTGTTTGTGACGGTAGTTGTGTCTGTCGTGCCTTAATGGACGTCTTGGTGTTTTGTCATTTTTCTCAAGTGCCTGTGTAACTCTGACTGTTTCTCTCTCCTACCTTTCCCCACACACCGTTAAAGCTACCAGGTCACTGCCTCAAGGGATCTTCAGTGACACTTTGACTCAAAATTTGGTTTTTAAATGCCCCCTATGTCACCTGAGTTCTATCCTCATAATAAACTTGACTCAGGTAAAGCCAGGCATATGAAGTAGCACTCTGACTGTTGGTGTGATCTTAACTTGTCTCCAGGGGAACCGAGTCTCTGTGTGCTTTGTATTGTGATTGCAGTGCTTCACCATGTGTCCCCTCTGCCATGTTGTGGCGTCCTTGTGTCTTCATGATCGCCCCCTGTCTCGCGTCCAACCACCAGTAGAGGTTTCCCAAGCTCGGTGTTGAAGAAAGGATCTGTCACTAGCTGCGTTTCCATTACTAATGTGTGAGAAACTTTGTTGCTATACAGCTGATGTCGGCAAAAGCCCAATTTCAGAATTGGGGTGTTTCTGTAAAATAAAAAAAAAACTCAATTGAAATCACATGTGAATAGGTTCGTCCACTTGATAAGTCATCAAAGGTGACAATGCCATGATAGTCCAACCATTGCAGTTTTGCGAAATAAACCAATTTTGATGCAACGGGAAAAAGTCCACTTCAAGTTATCACCAAAATGTCTTAACGAAAAACGAATTTGCCATGTTTCCAAAAACAGTATATGGGCAATGGAAATGCAGTTAGTGACGTTGCTCACATTTGAACCCACCTTGTTTACAGTTGGCTGATGTTAGAGAACAAACGCCAGCACACTCTATCTGTCATTTGGGAACTACAGCACAGACACCAAACCATCAGCAAACATAACCTACATGGTCAAGTCCTTGTTGATTTCTTTCTTTTTTACCGATTGTTTTTCTTCTTCACCTGATGTGCACACGAACCTCCCCAAACTAATCCTGTAACGCATTCTTTGATGTCTTTGATTCCTCAAAGCAAGCTGGTGATATTCAAAATGTGAAATAAATCCTAACTTCATCTGATCCTGTCGGTCTGCGTGTGTTATTGTGAGCTTAATACATGTTGGAGTAATAAGAAAAAGTCGGGTGTGAATGGAAAGAGCTCTGGTTGTTTTTATATTAAAATTGATTTAGACTTGCTATTGAATCCTCTCTTTCAGATATATTTTTACTGATTATCAGAAATATATATTGATAAATAAGGTACCAAACCATGTATAGTAATCAAATTTGAATGAACGTGTGTGACGTGTTTTTCTTGGGCGGCCTTAAACATGTGGAGTGAAAAATGCGAAGGGTGAGGCAGAAAGTACCGTGCCTCATTGATAGGGGGCAGTGCTGAGCCCAATAGACGCGAAAGGCACTCTTCTTCTATGCATCAAAAAGACTGGAAACAATCTGGAAAATAGAGAAATTACAGTTGGATGAGAGCTGTTCAAGGTCGCTCTCGCGTTTAATTCCAGATTTTTAAGGATTCAAGGAAAACAAGGCAGAAACAAGGACGTTTTGTACAACTGAGTGCTAAAAGAAAAGGATAGGTGCATAAACTTCGTATAACAATACAGGGAAAAATCATACACGAATTAGACATTACTGACAATATTTGATTACTTTTATATTTTACTTTATTAATTAGTTTATGTAGCCTATTTATTTATGTGTTGACAAACGGAGGTTTGTAATTTCCCATTTTGAGATGGTGACGATTTTAAAAGAAAAAGTTTTTATCTAATCTCATGTAGATTATTGCAATTTCTTTTTGCACCCAATATTTTCTTGTTATCATCATGTGTGGGTGTGGCGCCGCTCAGGTTTTTAAAATCTGCCAAAATTTTTAAATCCTGCTCTTTAAACCAGATATGTAAGTTGTTGTTGTTTTGGGTTTTTTTTTTTAAAAAAAGTTTGTGATGGTTGAAATACATTTACTGACAAAGGGTCAAGAAAAGGAAAATATGCAGGAAACTTTGATCTTTTCAATGTGGATGGAATGATTGGCCAAGACTAAACTCCACTGTGACAGGATGAGGGGAAGTGAGGAGTCTTAAGCGTAAGGTTGAATTTTAAAGATCCGGAGATGAGTGACGGCAAAGATGGCAAAGAAAAAGAAGGACGTTGGCTTCGGTCAGAGATGTCAGATATTAACTGCAGCCATGTATCCTGATCTCCGTGAGACCAAACACAGAGCAACTTATCTCTGCCAGGCCAGTCTGATGTTCTCGCTGTGTGTCGGTCAACTGCTGTGACCAGACGTTGTCCGTCATCTTTTATCGTCCCTGAATTTGCTCAGCTTCCGGTTGGAGCTGCGAACGACGAGGCCGTTCAGGAAAACTCAACAATCGCAGCCAGATGATCCACCAGGACATTCTGAGGGTTTTGAAACTCTTTTTGTTCGTTGTGTCTTTCAGTGTATTTGCAATTCAATGAAGTTTATTTCTACAACACAAATCACAACAAATGTCATATGGAGGCGCTTTAACAATAATAATAATAATAATTTCAGTTCAGTCATAAACCCATTTCAATTTGTCCCGTCGGGTTTCTGCAACGATTCTTTGGGGGTTTGAGAAGACAGAGTGGAGACACAAACTAGAAACAGACGACCTGGTGCAGGAGGGCTTCATGTTAGTGAAAATTAAAATGTTAACGGCAGCACAGATTCACCGATGGCATTATGTGAATCCTCCAGGCAGCAAAAACAGAACCACAGAGCTGATGTAGGTTCTGTGGAGGAATGAACGTATATATATATATATATATATATATATATTATATATATATATATATATATATATATATATATATATATAGCTAACAGTGAAATAACAGCAAATAATACAAATTAGGGCACAGTAGAAGAAGAAAGTGGTCAGTTGGGCCTCCTGAAGCCTAGAGAGCTGTCTTGCTAGCTATCCTGCTCATCTTGTTTATCTCACTAGCTACCTTGCTAGCTGTCTTGTTAGCTGGTTTGCTGGCCGTCGTGTTTGTTATCTTGATTATTTTGTTTATTTCGCTATTTATCTTGCTGACTATCTTGCTAGCTATTATGCTACTTATCTTCTTGCTGTCTTGCTGTCTTATTTGCTAGAGATGTTAGGTAGAGAGATGCAGACCCAGGTGGTATTTTTTGAGTCCACTAGGGGGCAGATGGTAACTGTCATCCGTGTACACACTGTAGCTCTCATTGCACTCATGTTTATTGCACACACACACACACAGAGACTGACACGGAGGAGGGAAGCTGTCACATTAATCCTGGGCCGGGGTTGGTCATGTTTTGTCTTGGGGCTGATTCTGCTGGTTGACATATGGCACTCATGTTGTTTTCATCACTTTGTGTGTGAGCAGTGATAGCCAGAGGCCGGTCCAATCCCGGCCTGGCACACCAGGCTTAGTCACTGTAAACACTTTCCAATCCCACGCTCCCAGGCTGTGACAGGCCGCTCGCCAGGCTGCAGCAGAGGTTGCATAACCGCAGCGTGAGCAGCGGCAGCAGCGGCAGCAGCAGCAGCCTCTGTCGCTGCTGGGACTGCCTTTCCCACCCCTCCCCATCATTTAACACAGGTGTCAACTGACATGCATCATACGCATGCACAGATGAACACACACCCATAGTGGGCTCAGATCCAGTGCAGCTCGCTGCACTATGAAACAACGACTCTGTCAATTTGCCTCCCAATCCATCAGAGGCCCGACTGGACTCAGAGTCCTGAAGTGTGACCCAGAAACCACCAGCTCGGGGAAAAAAATCTAATAAATAAAATTACCACAACTGCTTAGCAATGTAATCAGCCGCAGTCTTTCACTAAATGTCCCTGCTCCCCACATGAGAGTTTAGTTTTTCTCTCCAGGATGTGATCAGAATCCGTTCCTGGGCTGCTGAGGGGAAATGAGGTGAACCCTTCCCGCTCAACTGTTCGCCCGGCACTTCCAAGAGTTTGTTTTATGCTCCTTAGATCAGTATCCACCCTGGAAATATCCTCCATAAAACTCTGTTTTCTAACAGAGTCCAGTTTATTAATGGCTAATAAAATGTCTTGTAGCCAAACGACAAGGTGTTTATGGGGAGCAGGCACGCAGTGTGTTCACAAATCTTTCAGGGCGTTGTTTACTGAAACAGTTAAGTACTTATCAATCCTAAAGCTATATTAATAAAACATGCAGCTCTGAAGTTTTAGCTGCATCTTTCCCTGCAGGTTGGTGTGCGGATCGTCACGCACACTGCAAATCTTACCGAGTAGTTTGGCTCTAGTTTCTACTGCATTTGTCTTAAAACACTTGAAATAAGACAAACTAACTTGAAAGTAACTTTTCAGAGAAATATAGGTTCTTGTTTTAAGTTCATAATTCTTTGATGTTGATCAGAAAAAGACTCAGTCCCTCTGAGTTTATTGTTGTGACGAATCTGATAAGTCGGATCAGATGCAGTGTCCAGGCAGTAAATGTTACCCAACAAGGGCATCATTTAAATTAAAAGTTTCTTCTCTTTTTTTTAATGTGGTTTGACTGCTGTATTTTTGTAACCCACTTAACACAAAATTCAAGTCATTCAGCTGCAAGATTGGAGAGAAAGAAGAGAAGATGACAAAGGAAGAATCAGGACAGACAGGGGACGGCAACAGGTTGGACTAATATGAGGTGGAACTGAGGGAACAGCTGCTCCTTAAGAGCTGTAATTTTATTTTCAACTTATATATAATGCTTTTCTTTGACAATATGACTCAGTGGAAAATGAGGTGAAGGAGACAGGTCAGTGATGGTGTCAAGTGATGACATCAGGAAAGAATAATTCAATTAAGGGGGCAACAAAAACCTAAATACCATGATGGTTTGAACTTAATTACTATATTATAGAAGTGCATGAATAAGGAAGAGCTGCATGGACATATTAATACCTGGGGCAGGAAGGGAGTGGAGTTGTTGAACGTTTCTGTTGGATTTGTGTTGTTGGTTGCACCGGTTCTGTTGACGCCTGTTGCCTTGGAAACGCAGACAGCTTTTTCAGCTGAGTCCTAAGATCTGGACTCATGTCTGATCAGAGGAAGAGGACGGGTGATTGGACGGACGGTGAAGACTCATCAGTCCTGCGTGTCTCTGCTGGGCTCTGGCTGATGGTTGCAGCAGGTCTTTGGTGAATCAGCGGCCGGATGGAGTCATTCCAGTCTGAACTGAGCCTGAGGGGCTCCCCCCCCCACCCTCCACCTCTCGCCGCTATAGGCTCTCTAACTTATTGTTCTGGGCTGCTGGGACCTCGGCGAGATTTACTGCAAGATCCCAAATTGATTACAGCATCGCCTCTTGTTAGACATCTTCTGTTCGGCTCGGCGAGGAAAGGAAAGGAAAGGAAAGGCAATCTCTTTAGTCGCCCGCCCTCATAATTTATGGAACACGTTTGTGGATGCGCTCAGAAAGAGAGGACACAAATTATTGGGACTGTATCACAGTCAATGCGACGACAGTTAGTGTTTCACAGTTTTGTCACGATGCAAACACAAACGTCGCCTTATTTGGTTTGGAGTTCAGGTTCTCTGGATGGAAATCCATCTGTGCTGCTCCTGACCTTTATGGCTCTGGACAAAAAAATAAAAAGAACAAAAGTATCCTTTTGACATTGTTTGTGTCTCTGTTTGTTTGTCAAATCTCAGAAAGAATATCTGGTGAAACCTCGGAGTTTTGAGGCATTTTGCTATGAATGAGCAAATCGTTTAGTTTACGTGTCAAATGGTTTTTGAAAACATGCACAGTCTTCCTGCCATGTCACATTTCTGAACTGCTGTTTGTCAGCCTGAAACTATGGAAGAGTAACTCTGCTCCAATGCATTTTTACTCACGTAAAAGTAGAAAGTGCCTCAAGTCAGAGTAAAAGACTATTGATCTTTATTAATCAATGTTTTCTCCAGCCTCCATAAGGACACAGCCTCCCTAAAGATGAGTTTACAGGGTAGGGAAAGTTGGAGCTGCAGGGTTTTTGTGGCATTAAGACAGAGTCTCTTATTGTGAGGCGGAACATAAAATCTGCCCCAAAT